GTAAGCTTTTTACACATGAGATAACAAGTAGTTATCTAATAAGTCGCACATTTTATACTAGGAACTGTTGACAACGACCAAACTCGGTCACTTTATATAACGTTCATCCGTTCATTCGCATCGTTCGTTCGTTCATTCAACATATAAACAATGCGTACTATATTTGTCTCGATAGATTTTTCGCAACAATTATTAAGAAAAAATTTTGTACTTTTTTATAAAGATAGGTTTTGGTAGGTCTCGCATCTGATGCTCTTAAATTACGTAAAAAAATACAGTGAACATTTCGTTAAGAATAAATATCTTTAATGAGCGAGTAATTAAAGAGTAAGGTACGTTTTTTAATGTATGTAACGTGTAGTACGTTACATTGCAAAATTCATACAATTCTTAACGAGATCGAAATATCGCTAAGGCTAAAAGCCTGATCCAGGAAAGATCATATGCTCGATATAAATGTAACTTGCAAACGATTAAATTTATAAACAATAGACTCTTCTCATCATTAGGGATTTAAAAATTCTTGAGTGTTTGTCGTTGTATTAATATCATTTTTTTTTCCTATTAATAAAAATACGTCCATGTTATCTTTTCCTTTAACATAGACTTGACCACGTGGTTCGAACTCGTATCGTTCCGAGAGAACATCTAAAGAATTCTTGGCCACTTGTATTCTTCCAGCGACTCCAGTCGAATCCATTCTAGATGCTATATTTACAGCGTCACCCCAAATATCATAGTATAACTTGGTTGCTCCAATTACTCCAGCAGTTACGTCACCATAATTAAAGCCAATTCTCAAAATTAATTTAAAACCTAACAACTCCCGATTGAAATCGTTTATTACTTTATGCATCGCCATAGCGAAATCTATTAATTGAAACAGATGCATATATTCATGTTCACTTTGTTGCCTAACTTGTGGGTTTAAACCGCTTGCTGCCATGAATGTACTACCGATAGTTTTAATCTTTTCTACGTTTGAGAATTCTGGCTTTTCTAACAATTCGTCGAAATCACCGATAAGTTCATTAAGCACGCGCAAATATTCTTTTCCAGCTAAATACGATTCGTCATAGAGTTCATTAAAGTTCACTATGCTTGCAAAAATAATTCCTACAGCTTTATGATTCTGTGAATATTTAGCAGTGGTTTTTAATTGATCAGCAACATATTTTGGTATAATGTTGTGTAAAAGCCAATCAGCTTGATTTTTCATAGATTGTACACGGCTTTTATCTCGTGCGGCTACTGCGTTTCCGTGAAAGCTTAACCGATAACTAATTTCAAACTCACGATTTAGAAACCAAACTAATAAAAGTAAAAGTATCATATCTAAAAAAATCTCAGAATTATATAATCTTTCATGATATCTGATTTCTGCCTCTTGTTGTCTCATAAGAGCAACTTTCGTTGTGAAATTTAATAATAAGAAATTAGAAGTATTCTGAAATACTTTTTTTACAATACTCTCATTAAATTGATCTTTTATTAAATCAATGGCACGTTTGTTTATCATGGCAGAGTAATTTAATGAACTGTTAGTGAATTGATTACCAAGATTTTCTTGATCATATGATAGATTATGATGATTCATTACAAGATATAGAAACAATAGGCCCATGAATGTTACCAGAAAATTTTTCATCCAACAATTGAGTTGTGTAAAGTTACAAAAATGAATCAAGCCAATAAAGATTAAGTAACCATAATAATATTCGAAATTATTCAAATTATGAAAGTTATTGCACGTGTAATTAAGAAGAATTGACGTAATCGGTAAGCCGACCAGAAATGCACCGCAAATGTGCCAAGGATACCACTGTGAAAAAAATTTAAATATTTGCTGTGTCAACGTTGCATGAACCATATTCGGATATAAAAGTTGACGAACACAAAGCGATACTGCTATAATTTGAATGGTAGTAGCACATACAAAAAATATCATATAATATAATGTTGGATCGCACAGTAAAAAGAGTGAAACTGCAACAGCAGTGTAAACCAACGCTGATATTAGAATATCAAAATACGTATTGAATCTCGAAGTAGCCAGAGTAGGTGGATTTCCACTGATACATTCGCTAACCTTGTGAGCATTCTCTCTATACTCCTTCTCCATTTCTTTGTTCTTGAAGAAGAGTGTCAAACTCGAAAGTGGTGGTTTCACGAAATATGATCGTTGAGAACTTACATTATCTTGAACGCACCTTCGTAAAAAACGAAACTATACTATAATATAATTTTTAAACGTACACATTTTAATCACTGATTTATTTACCTGATTAATTGTAGGTCAGATTGTTTTCTTAATTTGTGAAAACATGCACCAAAGGTATCTGTGACTGCTGGAGGAAATGGATAGGGTGGTACCGAAGACGATGGCTCTTGAACAGAATTTAATGTCGAACT